TGCTAAATATAAAGTACTTGATAACGAGTTGACGGAATGTCTTGTTCGGGTTTAGTATTTTGAGGACAGGATCGAAAAGTTTATTGAGGACGAAGTAAGGAAGCTGGTTCTCGAGCAACATGAGATCTCTCCTTACTGTTCTTGCAAGAAAGATCTCGTCCACGAGAGGATCCCCTATTCTTGTTGTTGGCATTACGGAAGTCCTCATAATGAACTCTATTATGAAAACAGAGTCGTGCAGGATCATCTCCACGAACTCTGGAGATTCAATCCAGGCCGTTGATTCCGAATAAGTTGCTCTGATTATCGTTTCGTCTTCTTCGATTATCTTCCGGAATCCATCAATGGTTTTTTTTCCTTCAACCCTTTTTGCAAACTCCGCTAGGTAAATCTTCTTATGCTCCTCCATGTTTAAGTAGGCCATTGAATTTGCCTTTGTGATATCTCCACGAGACTTGTGAGCTTGATATTTTAAAGAATGGTGAAGCGGTCCAATGAGGACCATTTGAGGAGTGTATGCTTCTGGGTTTTCTCGACGCATAGAGTTTGGGACTCTGTAGATACAACAAAGATCACGATGCGTAGGAAAGCGCCACATCCCAGGAACCGGTTTGTCCGATTCAAGATCCAACGTTCGCTCCATCGTGTCCGGATCAGAGGAACCAATATTGTGTGGGGAATCTGAAAGTCTTAAACACAAAGCCATTTGAGAAGAAAAGAGAGGGATAAAAGAAAGACAACTTATGTTCGAAATTTCCCTCTTTTTTTACTCAACAGATGGATAAGAAGATTATATTATATAGGGCCATATGCTTAATCCGGATAATGAAAAACGAATTGATTCCAAAACCGTAATCATATCCTAAATTTGTTAAAATATACTTACTTTTCTAGATTCGAACATTAATTTAGATTAAAACCGGTTAACCTTATTGGGTTCCACATCAATTATTTGTGGTATTCAATTTGAAATGTTTTTTTTTTTTTTTTGCTAAAACAATTTTTAATGTTGTCAATTACCTTAATTATTTAGATGCAGCTTTCAAAAGCCCACATTCGACGACTGGTATCAATTGTAAAAAAGACAGCCATCTTCAAGTATTTTATTTATAATTTATTCCATAATCGTAATTAATAGTTAATACATTCTTTTCTTTTGCGTTCATTGCAAGTTTTGTGTCGATCGACGCACCTTCAACGCTCGTCTTCTCTTCCCGAAGGACATGTGTGCGTCGACCGACGCAATCTG